TGGCGGGCCACGCTTCTGCGTCCTCGTGCCCGGGGTCTCCTAAAACGTGCTTCCACTGCCCCAACTGGAGGGGCCTCTGCACAGGTGGCTTTGCGTGGAATTAGGCTCCTTCACTGCACATGGATTCGAGGGGTCCGGAGTAGAGGCGTGGGATGCAGGGTAGGTGGGTTCAGGGTAGGTTCGGGACCTAGGAATGCGGGAGAGCTGGGTGTGGGGCAGGGAGTGCGGAGGCCCTGGGTAACGCAGTGACTCGGAAGACAGCGCCTTCATCTGGACAGGAACGAAACCTGTTCTGGATGTGTTGTTGGTGAGACAGTCAAGTGGAAATGCCAACATTCGTGGACCCATAAACCCTAAGTCAGTTGTGATGTGAAAGTGTTAAGGGCAAAGGTCCAGATTCTTGAACTCGAATGGAGCCATGGACTGGCCACCCCTTGCATAACTGTCTCAAAGTTTATTTGCGGACCCCACGTGCCAGGCACCGCCCTAAGCACTTTCCACGTATTCTGATTTCGATGACAACCTTATTAGGAGGTAGTTATCCCCATTTTATATACAGGAAATTAAGGTACAGAAAAGCATCTTGCCCATGTTCCCATGGGTAGTGATAGAGCCAGAATTTGAATTCAGGAATGTTTTGTCAAGAAGTTGAATTTTAATTGGGCTTTCCAAGGGCTGGCCTCTTTGGCTGGAAGCTCCGTATCCCAACCCTGGGAGATCAGAAATCAACGATCCCCAGGTTGATGGGGCACACAGACAGGAACCAGAACTGTTACTTTGCCCTGAGTGGGGAGACCCCAAGAAGCCACAAGGCCTAGAAGTCAGCGTCCCATGCCACTGAATTGGAGGGCAAAGACTAGGTGCAGTGGGATGAGCTGGGTGTGCTGATTAACAAGATGGGGTTTCCCTGGACAGAAAGGGACAGTCCCGTACTGTGGAAATGTCATTTTTTAAAAACTTGATCCCCGATAAATCATTTTTCTATGTCAAACATTTTGAAATCGCAATCAACAGGAATCCCTTTCAGTCTGGTCCATTTAACCACAGGCGCTGGCACCCTTTCTTCCACCTGCATTGGCACCTGCGGCCGCCCTGACAGCCTGTGAATGTGCCAGGACTCCTGTAGGGAACTCATGCCCTGGGTCACAGGGCAGAAATCAGGTGTGTGGGCGGGCCTGCTGCTGATCTCCTGACCCACCTGGCAGAGGATGGCCTAGTGCCCGGCCAGTGAGTTCCAGGGACACTGACAAGCTCCAATGACAACTGCAGGAGCTGTGGTGCCTCTGCCTGGCCTGGGGATGGGGACTACTGTGCCTTCCTGATAGGCCTGCACCACTCAGATGCCACCATGCCCTTTATCCAGCCCGATCCTTCCTCCTGTGTACCAGACGTGGTCCTGGAACCCCGTCTAGTGGGCACAATTCCTGGTCACAAACAGGAAGTATGGCCTACATTCCTCCCTGCTGACCTCCAGATCAGATGATACTGTGAATCAAGAAAAGCACACATCAGCCTAGGTAGATAGGAAACCCAGAGGCAAGGAGGCTATCAGTCAAACTGGAGAGTGGCAGGCAGGCAAGGCAGTGGACAAAACCATACAGATATTTATTTGCATATGACATCACAGGGCCAAGGTGTGCTGGGTGTGCTGCCTCTGAAGTGTGCAGACCTGACCAAGCATGGCTGTATGCTGTTCCGATTCTTGACCTCCACTGCCCGGGAGACCACCTCCACTCGGGCCTGGAACCACAGCAGACTAAGAGGCTACAGGTGTAGTCTCAGTGGCATCACACATTGTTTGGCTGCTTCCCGAGGTTTCTCCTGTCCCTCAGGAGCAAGGGCCTGGATCTGATAAGCAGCTATAGTCCTTGCACACTAGGTCCTAAGCACATGACCCTCAGAAACACCTGGCCCCACTCCAGCCAGTTCCTCTGGGCCAAATGCGACAAAGGGCTCCCTGCCTTTTTTTTTTTCCAAATCATCGAGCTCCAGCCTCACAGGGTTCTAAACTTCTTTGCCCCACCCAGACCTGAAAGCAAGAGCTGGTTTTCAAGACCCAAATTCTCGTTGCATTGGACAGAATGAATAATGTCTTTCATATTTTCTTTGTATTTCTCTTCAATAATTGCTTGACCCAACATCTTTCTGTCTGCTCTATACAATGAAAATACAAACTAAAGGAGAATAGAAAAAAATAATTAAAGCATTAAATTGTACAAATTACAAATCTGTTCCAAAATATACTTACATTAAATAAAATACGCATTTCAGTAAGAGATCTACAGTGAATGACTGCATTCTGGGAAGCCTCAGACACTGAGGCAGGGCTGACATTCGTGGGAGGAGATAAGAGACTGCGCATCCAATCACAGTTTGCAGCGGGCTTGGGACCGCCCACCTGCCAGTTCTTGGCAGGTCATTGGCATTGCTGTGCAGGGAAGTGATTTGGGGGAAGGTAAGAAGCAAGCTCCGATTCTGAGTTCATTACAACTTCTCAAGCATTTCCTCAGCCTATACAGTACAGGTTCACAAAGTAAACATGTTAAGGTAAGCAGACAACTCTTTAGAGCCCAAACTCATTTTCTTGCTGTATTTATGCGGAACTCTCTGTCTACAATGGGCAGTCATGAAGAGGTTCCTCCGCAGGACATGTCACAGGACCCAGCAGAGCCAGTGGGTCTGCGGGAGCGCGAGGACTGGGATGGAGGCCCCCTCGAGAGCTGAAGACGACCCTCTAGCACAGTCCGCGCTGCAGGCGCCCCTCCTATCATCTGGCGTACCGCTTAATGTAGTCTTCCACTTTGTTCCGGAAGTCCTCCTGTGGAATTCGAGAAGAGCAAGTTAGTGAGGGCGAGTGACAACTCAGGGACAAGTCGGAGCCACAGAGCCAAGGGCCCACTGAGAGTTCAGCCTTCCGCAGCCAAGGTGGCAGGGCCACCAGAGACCTGTGGGGCTGGTTCCCCTGTGGGTGCCCACTATGTGCAAGACACCGTGCCAGGGGGACAGGGGGCAGAGAGTACAAACAGCAGCTGGAGCAGAAGGGATCCCAAGACCTTTCATTTTGCAGATGGGGGAGTGAGGCCCATATGGTCAAGGTCAGGACACCCGCACTTGTCCACGGACGGTGCTGCACTCAGAGGCTCCACAGCCCCTAGCAAACTCTCACCAGGTCACTACCACAGTGCCCAGAAGCCAACAATACTCCCAGCTCCTAAGGAACCACAGCCCAAGCTCACTGGATGTGAAGGCCCCAAGGTACCCTCCACTCAAGGTGCCTCTGCTTAATCCTAATCCCTTTTGCTCTCATCATCTCACCAGGACAAAGTCCACACCTTCAGAAGACTCTGCGTGCTCAGGCCTCTATGCCTCCCACATCTCCTTGTCCCCCTGTGGGCCCTGCAGCCAGACCCCCTGCGTTCAAATCTGGGGCTCTGCCCCTTCCTGGTGACTCTCTCAGAGAATAAGGGCTAACAAGAGGCCCTCCCTCCTGTCGTTGTCAGGAGAACAAATGTACTCTGGGAAGAGTGTGGGACAATGCCTGGCACCGGCATTGGGTTGCTGATACTGTTGATTCACCACTGCCCTTCTACTCAAGTAATGTGGCCCCTGTGCTCTGCCCGGAACACCTGGAGCACATTCCCACCTTGAGGCCTTTGCACTGGCTGTCAGTCTCTGGAAAACTCTTTCCTGAGATCCATCTGGCTCACATCTATAGTCACATCTTATCAGAAAGGTCTTCCCTGAATATCCTCCATAAAGTGCAACACCCATCACCCCCACCCAACACTCCTGGCCCCCAGCCCCACCTTCCATGTTGATGACTTATCTCTGCTCTGCCTCCTCCCACTAGAATGCATGCTGCACGGGGACAAAGACTGACTGTCCACTCAAGCGGTACTCAAGCGGTCAATCTTGGGATGAACAATGACTACAAGAGAAAGTGAGCAGAGACAGGATGATCGTGACTCGACATCAGGATGCAGGTCGGTCTGGGCACATCTAAGATTTCAAGTGGAGGCATCACTGTTTGGCCAATTTTAGGACCATCCGACTGGGGAGAAGTTTATTAATTGCAAACCTGCCCTTATGTCATACAAAGAATAGGAAGCAGCCTTCCAAGAAAGACAGAACGAGAGCCATCTGTATGTGCCCTGCTGTTACCACTGTCTTCCCTTGACAAGGCTGAGTCCACAAGGGCTGGAATAATCGCATGCTGATGGGCCCGTCAGCAGCAGTGACAAGTGGAGTGAGTACAACAAGAACGAAGCCTCCTGAAAGGCTCTGGGCCCAGGAGCAGTCTAGTCAGCAGTGGCCTAACTGAGGTGTTGCCAGGCAACCCCCAGCCAGGGTGGCCCAGAGGTGGGCAGGGGCAGAGCCATCTCCCACCCTGCACCTGTCCTGAAGACCTGTGCTGCCCCAGCCTCCTCCTCAGGTCGCCTGCCAAACCACCCTCCTCTGCCTGACCCTTCAGTTCCACTGTAGAACCCACTGCTCCCTGAAGTGCCTATCGCTAGTTTCCTGAGTCTGCATGGAACACATGCTGGGCACTCCAAGGAATCGGCGTGGCCCCTGCGAGGCTGAACAAGCTGCCAGCCTCCTCCCAGTCACACAGCCCGGCTCCCAGACTCCTGCGCAGATCCCAGGCCCTGTCCACATGCTTTGTAAGGATGTGTGTACAAGGGTGTTTACTACATTACTGTAGTAGGGGGAAAAACAGTGGGAAAAACCGAGTCCCACCAGGAAGAGAACGGCTGAATAAGTGTGTAGAGCTGCTTATGAGACATTGAACGGTTCTGAAAGTAGATGAGTGACACTTCATGCATTGACTTGGAGGGAAAAAGTTAAAGAAAAGGGACTGAGACTGGAGTAATGAATATGACCCCCTTCATTACACACTCACAGAGCTCTGGGGAAGGTGTGGAAGGTGAGGAGGCTGCTGGGGGCCCAGAGGGCACTGAGGGCATCATGCCACCAATGGTCCCTTCTATATTCCCATGCTGCTAAAGGTAAAGGAACAGTATACCAGATTCTACTACGAATTCTCTCTCAATAAAACACGTCTGACCTTGGGTCAAACACTTTACTGAAACCACTCACATGCACTGTGATGTCATTATAAATTGCTTTAAATTCCAGTTCTGGATCCCACCATTCTCAACTTTGTGCCTATCTAGTCCAGAGACATAGTTATCTCTTTGCCAAACACACCAGCCAGGACCTCCTGTCCCCAGCCTACCTTGTCCCTCAGGTGATGCTCTGCAGCCTCGATATTCAGTGGGTCATCGAAGTTCAGAAGATCCTTAAAGATAGAAATGCAACATAAACAAGGGAAAGATTCTGTTACTCTGCTGTGACACATCTTCATGTTAAGAACTAGGCAACTGAAACCAACCAGCAAACTGGAGAATGAAGCCCCAGGGAGCTGAGGAGTCCACCATGAAGCTCCTCTGATATGGAGCCCTCACCCTGTACTTTGTTCAACGTGGTGATGAATAGCTGAAGGGGGGGTCATGTTTATATGTAACTGTCCAAAATGTGGTGGAAATGGGGGCAACAGCCATCACATTAATTTCTAATGCTATTGGTAACTGGAGAATGAAAAACCAGTCATTATGAGCTTTCCAAATTAAAGTCCCATTATTCTCTTTTTTCTTTCAAAATGAATCCCCTCTTCATTTTGTGATTAACAACTTTGCCTTTGTAAGTCTGTGGTTTCTATTTGGCCTTAACTGCAGTTTCCTTTCATCATCTAATTCGCCTTCACAAGCATCACTCCCGTCCTGGAACCCAGTTGAGTGCAGGTCAGTGCCTTAGGCCTCGGGGTGTGTGGGGGCACCAGTCCCCTTCTACCTTAGGAAAGCCCTGAGATGGCTACTCCCTGACCCTCAGGCAACACCAGGGATTTCAGATAGGCCACGTCTGAGCTTTATACTGAGTGTTCCTCCTCTACCCGGGCAGCAAGGTTTGTTTTATAAGGAGCCCCCGCTTTCCAAAGCCACAGAAGGACCATCGTAGACAACCATATTCCTCCTAGAGCAAGTGCTAAATTTGCGGACTGTATCCCTGATTTGGAAATAAATATGGGTGTGACAAAGAAAATATAACAAAGAAAAACTGTAAGTCTCTATGGTCATTTACAGATGGGAAATTAAACTCCAAGTCCTGGAAACAGGTAAAAACATAAAGTACATATCAGATAAGATACCCAGTGTGTACAAAGACCACACCAAACACACAGAATTCCTTATCTTCTTTACCTCATCTTTGACCTAAAATGACTATACTGGCTGGAATAACCATTACTGACTTAATTAGCTATCTGGATTGGCTCTTTAAAATTTGAGAGGTTTGGAGCACTTGGAGGGATGAAGATCACATCAGACTTCTTTAAGAGAAAAAAAGAAAACTCCAAGGAGCCATCGCTATTTCCTCCCCTTAATTCCCTTGCAGCGAGTTGCTGGTCACAGTCATTTCCGATTCAGGGCCAAGGCACCTGGAGGAAGCAGGGTGGGTTTCGGGCAGGTTCTGCTGTGGTGGAGGACACAATGAGCGTGGGCCCGTGTGCTCTTGGGCTGCGACAAAGAGGCCTGGCCGCCAGGCAGAGTTTCAACCATGCTCAGGCCCTGCTGCTCCAGAAGTAACACTTCATTCACTTACATGAAAGTCAAAAACAGAATCACAGCAAAACGACTGGGCCCAGCAGAAAATCGTCCAGATGTTCGTTCCCCTTGGTATTACCTTCCCATGGAGACTAAGGGAGCTCCTGAAATCAGCAAGCGCTGGTTGCTTGTGTTCCAGGTGTTGCCAAGTGACATCAGATCAGAAGGCAAGGAAGATGGGGACTTGGAGTCTAATTTTGAGGCTTTGTTTGTTTTTTATTTTGCTGAATCAAGAACAAGAAGCCTGTGGCCTCTGATGACAGGTGGAGGACAGCTGCCCCACCCCAGGGTGACTCTGTAGGCACATCCACCATGAGCCAGGAAGCTGTCCCTCCAACAGCCAGTCCCGTGGGCTGTCCTGGACAGCCTCATTTTCATGCAGGGACCTCAACAGTAGCAGAGCTTTTTTTCTTTCTTCCAAAGAAGTTAATTTCCTTAAAGCTCTTTTTTGATCAAAAACCCCAAGGAAAACATAACAATATATAAAATTCCAAACTCCAGCTTTCAGCTGTGCCCATCTTAGCTTTTCCCATGCCCCTTTCTGCCCTACAGGCCTGCCATGATGAGCTGTTTTCTAAAGACAGTGAACTCTGTTGGCAGCTCGTCACTAATACGAGAATGACTCAAAGGTTCTGGGTTTGTGAAAAGCCTCAGGATGGGTGAGCACATCCTCCTTCACTCAAACCAGGACACGTGGGAGTGAACAGGGTTATGGGCTGGGCTGCTGTGAGAGCAGACGGAGCGTGGCTGCCAGGTGCTGCCAAAGGACCCACCCCCATGTGAGGAGACTGAAGCCACCGACCTGGCCTGGGGCGTGGGGACGCCCTGCCCCCAGTCACCTCCCACATGTCACTGCAAACCCCCTCAAGGCCAGTCTCACAAAAGTGAGACAGGAAAGAGGGGTCAGTATGGACACGGTGCTGTCTTCAATCCCAGTGTTATTCTTATGGGCTCACAACAGCAGTCAGGGGAACCAGAGAAGCTTGGGATTTTGGTCAATATACTTACAGTAAACAAAGAGTTTAATCCCCAAACAACATCCTGGAATGAGGAAAAAAGAAAACAAGTTTCAGGCTCCTGTGCACAGTCTTTCAAACTCATAAGAAATATGTATGGGACCATATCAAAATTCATCTTTGCAGGCTTTGTTTTTCCCAAACCAGAATTAAAAAAACTTCTCTCATTATAACCACAGACTCTGAGAAATTCAGAGGTGAGCAGCTACAAGCAGTGAGTGTAAAATCAGAGAACAGAAACTGCCCTCCCGCAACGACGAGTCCAATCCTGGGTGGTAGTAGCCCTTAGGCAGCTTCTGCACAGGACACCTGACCTCACAGTATGCTCACCTGTCACTCTCCGGCAGAGTCCAGCCACCTTTAAGATAAACTCTGCTGTTTTGGTATCTGTTGCCTCTTGGGGACCAGATCACCCACCATCCCACTGAGTCTTAATAATTTTGCTCGAATTACTTCAAAAATCAAGGGAGACTTTTTTTTTAAAATTCAAAGATCAGAGATTTTAATTAAAATATGACAGAAACCCACTTTCTCTCTGGGCTGACTTGTGATGGGCGACTCAATCAGACTCTTTCCTGGCCTTCCTTTCACCAGCTCAAGGGGCTTGTCTGTTTCAGGCCTACTCTCATTCTCATCTGATACTCTGCTGGTATTTTAATTGCCCGCTCTACTGTCTCTCGTCTATGCACACACCCACTCCTCCGTCCGTCCGTCCATCCATCCTTCTGGTGTGAGCTAGGCCTGGGGCCAGAGCTGGGGGTGAACACCAGCTCCCAGGCTGCAGGGGGGGTCAGACAGACAGTGTGCTGACGGAGCTTCCACAGGCGTGTTCCCACAGAGAACTCATCCGGGAGAGGATGTGGGGCCCTGCCAGGAAGAGGGACGGCAGGAGGGAGCACCTGCCAAGTTGAGGGACTGCCTGTACAGAAGCTAAGTCCCAAAAGGGCAGGGCACGCCCAGGATGTGGTGAGAGGCCAGGCCAGGCTGCTCGTGGCAGCAGAGACCACACCTCATGAGGAGCCATGGCCATGACCACAAGAAGTCTGCATTGTCCCCTGACTCTGGGACAGGGCCCCAAATGCCTTCCCTGTGTTCTTCTCCCAAAGTGCCTACTCGGTGATCCACAAAACCTGCCAGTCCCTTCTGGCCACAGAGTGGTCTGCACACCAGTCTGCAGCTGTCTACCAGGAGGTGGGGTCAGGTGCAGTCGCCTGCCGGGCCACTCTGACCCACACGTGTCTCTGGTTCTGTGTCCTCTAAGAGCGGTGACACTGAGATGTGTCTACTATCCTCTTCTGAGAGCCGAGGAACAGGAATGAGGAGGGTCTCTGAGAGACCAACCACTCAGCCAGTATATGATGGATACAGTCAGGTTTCTGCGCATTATTTTAGAAGGCAGGGCCTAAAAGTTAGTCTGCGAAGCATTGTGGGAAAAGAAGCCTGGCACCTGTAAAGGGTAGGGCCCAGGACTGTCCTATCCTGCTCAGGTCACCCTTTCGACCCGAGGGACAGCGCCCAGCAGCATCTCTGTGTATCTGGCCCAAACTTAGACAGAAGTCGTTTTAGTTGGTGCAACTTTTATCACCCATGCACGACTAAGCCAAAGGTGCCATGTGGGGAAAACACTGCTTTTGAGAGGGGGCAGCATGTGCAGTGTACAGCTAGTTCTCATGGCCTCACAAACGGGCTGGTTTGACACCCACAGCCCTTTCACGTTGCCCGGCTAAGACTGTCAGCCTCAGAGGAGGAGTCACCGGGGAAGATGGCATGGCCATGGCTTTGTGCTGAGTCTGGGGTAAAGTGCAGCTGGGAACCAAGCTGCCCGAACCAGCATGGGGCAGGCGCTCTCCTGGGCAGTGTCGACCCAACACAGACAGGGCAAAGGTGACAATGGTTTGGAACCGTCTCATTAGTCAAAAATGATGGTGATAGTCAGGTAGCTGTTCACTAGCAAGTGAACACTGGCCCAAGCCTGACAACTTCTGATAGAGTGACAGGCCCAGGAAGAAGCCCTAGGTGTCCTAGGGGTACCACTGCAGAGACGCCTTGAGGGGAGGCTACAGATGGTGGCTCACGTAGGCACCGTGACATCGGCCCTTGAAAGCAACTCAAGCCTATGGTGTAGAAGCAAGTGGGCCATTTATTTAGTCCCCGTAGCTCCCCTCTCCACAGCCCTCCCCAAAGCAGACCCGGCCGCTGTCCTGCCTCCCCTCCTCTGTGCAGTGTACCTCCAGGTAGCTCAGAAGGGACGCACAGAAGTCATACCTCCCCTTTCTTTTCCTCCCCTTCTACCAACTCCTGGCAACTCTCCTCACCTTTATGGGTGAGACCACTATAGACTAGGGTAGGGGATGGGGGATAGAAGAAAAAACAACAATTATATATTATACGAAGATGGTAAAGGGCAAAGGCAGAGCAGATGATCTCATGCCCCCTGCATCGCAGAGAACGGGGACAGAGGAACTGAAGGACGAGTGCTTGCCTGAGCAGCCCCAGGCGGTAGTGGGTGGTGGGGAGAGAAGGGGCAGGGTGTGCCTGGCCTCCTGTGTGCACAGGACAGAGAGGACATGGCTGTTCTTACAGATGGCTGGTTACGGAGGGAGAGGTCACAGGGCAGGGCTGTGGTCAAAGGCACCTACCTTTAATGTCCTCGTGGGAGCCCAGCCAGTGCCATCGATCGAATGTTCCCTCAGTAAACTGGAACAGACAAAGCAGAGTGGTCAGCACATCCTCACAAAAATGAACTTTCCATATTTTGAAAATTTATTACCAAGGTTCTTTTTGGTGAAAATTAGTTTGGCATTGCTGAATTATATCACACTGCTGCTTGACCAGAACCTAACAGCTCCAAGGAGACGGAGCACCTTCAGCGCTTCCTGCCCTGCTTCTCTCCTGTGCCACCACTAGTTTGCAGCTGATGCCTACTGTCCCCATGGGCATGTCCACCTTTTTCTTTTTGAACATGTTTAAATCCTCACCTGAGGATATATTTTTATTGATTTTAGAGAGAGAGGAAGAGAGATCAATGTGAGAGAGAATTATCGATCGGCTGCCTCCTGTACACACCTCGACCAGGGATCAAACCCGCAGCCCTACGTATGTGCCTTGACCAGGAGTCAGGCCCATGACCTTTTGGTGCACGGATGATGCTCCAACCAACTGAGACAGCTGGCCAGAGTGAGGTGTCCACCTTTTTCATACTGACTGGTAAGGACGTTCACAAACAATGTAATCAGCTGCTCTTTGCTTTGGATTTTGTTTTTGTATTTTTAATCTTAACCTATCAGTGTTTCTGGCTTTTGTAGCAGGCTAGCATCTGCTAAATTCCTGTCATACTCTGCTAATAATTTGATTTCTCAGAAGACAGCAAAAGTGACAAGAGGAATTCCTCAGATCTAGTTCTGAGCAAGGAAGGGGGCGAGAGCACAGGTGAGAGCCTGGGGAGAAAGCTGCCACTTATCACCTGAAACTGAAAGTTTCAATACTTACAGGGCAGACACTTCCAAGGGAAGATGCCTTCTAAACAGGTATGCTCTTATAAAATGTACTCTTAACTATAAAAAATAAGGCTGACATGGAGAGGAGGCACCACATATAAAGTGGGGAATGGGTGCTAACTGCACCTGTAAGAAAGGAAGAGGAATACGCTGTCTCAGCAGCTGGGAGCAGTCACAGGCTGCACACTGCCTTTCAAAGGTGACCAGTGTTTACCAGAGCAGAAGTGAAAGGAGATTTTCTTCCCAGATTTCATGAATGGCATTTTTCCCTTAGCTAAAATCAGCCACGTGGAGGGAATGTGGCCTCATAAAACAGGACAGGAAAAGGGTAAAGGATCCTGGAGGGCAGATGCATGACACCACACAGCCTTGGCCAGCAAAGGGCATAGGAGGCCTCAGGTCTGGAGGCAGCAGCCAGGTGTGAGTGTAGCCCAAAGCCCCAGGGAGGTCTCCCAACCCTCCCAATCTGGCCCAGCTTCAAATCTTCCCTCTAGAAATCCAAGGTTCACACACAGTGCTCAGAAATGTGGAAGACAGGAAGAGGGCTCACCTCAGACATATCTCGCCCGTCTCTGTGATGTTGGGGTGCCAGATCCTGGTCAAGCATCTCACTTTGGGTGGCTGCAATGCAGAGAGAGAGGTCACAGGCCCTCCAAGCACGTCACAGACCACAGCCTCACCATGTGCCCCCCCAGTCCCTCGTTCTCCTCCTTACTATGCATTCAACCTTGATACTGGCTCACATCACCCATGCGGGACTGTGTTGTCACCCTGCACCCACATGTGCTGGTCTTGCTGGTAAAGCCTGACGTGTCCCCAACAGAACCCTCTACAAGCCCCAAGGCCTGATGGTGACTGGTCCCACTGTGAGGAGGAGCCCATGTGCACTCCAGGGGGTGTCTGCAACGCTCCTGCCCAATGCCAAGAGGACCCCACAGATTCCTCAGGAGCTGCTGAGCTGTGGCTGAAAGTTACTGCTCCTGAAGTGGTGCCATTCCCTGTGTGTGTTCCTGAAGATGCCACTGCCATCTTCCTAGATGGAAGTTTGGTCCATTTACACTCACAACAGGGAGAATGAAACGAGTACTGGGAAATAAGGCAGTCCAACATTGTTTATGATGTGGTGTGTTCTTTTAAAATTATAAAAGCAGCCTGGCCAGTGTGGCTCAGGGGTTGAACCAGGAGGTCACAGTTCGATTCCTGGTCATGGCACATGCCCAGGTTGCGGGTTCCATCCCCAACAGTGGCTGTGCAGGAGGCAGCTGATTGATGTTTCACTCTCACAGCATGTTTCTCTCTCCCTTTCCCTTCCTCTCTCTAAAAGTCAATTTAAAAATATTAAAAAACTTACTCTCTCAGCACCATCATGAATTTTCTTCCTGATTTCAAAAAACTAAGACATCACGGGACTCTAAAAAATGATTCGTCCAACTATGCAAATATAGATGTCTGAGGATTACAGATTTAGGTCCAGGGTAAGTTTAATATACTCATCTGCTCTTCGGCAAATGAATGAGAGTGCATTTGACAGGGAGATGCTAGGACAGCCTGCACTCCAGCAAGGCCTGCAGGCTGAAGCAAGGAGGCCAGGCTGTGTAACTCTCTCTAATGGGCAACTGAGTAACAATATAGTTAACTGGTGGGTATCTGACTATAGTTAACACAGTGAGCAGACTCAATCACTGGCCGGCGGTACCTGAAGTAACCAAACTCTCTCCCTTCCTCCCTCCCTCCCTCCCTCCCTTTCATGGAGTCCTGGCCTGCACATGGTCACCCCACCTAGTGTTAACTTCATGTCTTTAAATATCTGTCTGCATCTGCACCCTTTTCTCCTTGTCCCTTCACACCTTCCACAGACACCTCCCTGTCAATGGCCCTCTTAACTGAAACCTCTGCATGAGAACCGTGGACCCAGATTCAGACACACTTTCCAAACAGAACTGTGTTTGTAGACCCTGCCACCCTCAAAATGAGATAAACGGGAAATAGCTAGTTCCACCGCCCACCCCAGTGGCTGGCACTGCATCCATTCATTGCAGGGTGAAGAGTGTAATAATGACAGCCAGTGCAGGGAGAGGGATTCTTCAGTGGATAAGCGGCTAAGCGTTAGAACACAGTGACAGCCCTACTTAGAGCTCCCTCCCGATGCAGGAAACACACAGGTGAGAGCCACAGAGCACTGGAGGAAGTGGAGATGAGCTATTGGGGTGTAGGCTTCTTTAAAGCATCTCCTAACATGAAAAACTCATGAAGGAAAAGTAGACTTGACTGCAGTGATGAGACAAAAAACAAACTTTTACAGAACAACAGGAGATAGGAAAAAAACAAGGAAAATATTTACAGCACAGCTAAGAAAACTAAAAATAGTTTCGCATACTATTTTCCAACTGAACAAAGGCTAAGCACAAAACAGCTCATAAAAAACATGAATAGCTAATAAGGAGAAAAAGTATTTAACATCCTACTTAATAAATGAAAGTTCAAATGACAATTAGAAAACATTTATTTCCTCCCAAAATGGCAAAAAGGAAAAAAATAATGAAAATATGCCATCTTGATGAGTTTAGGAAAAGGGAATATCCAAGCACTAACAGTGAAGCTGCCAATTGGCATAAGGTCCCTGGAGGGGCAGGGCTGCTCCCATTGCAGACTGCCCAGCAGTCCTCACAAGCACTTGTTCACAAAAGGCTCTCTCTACTAGGACTTCAGATACTGCTGCTGAGTGACACTAACCACAAAACATCAGGGATTTCATGCTCAGTCCCAGGACTGGGTGGGTAACAGGGGACACAGTCCGGGGAGTGCTGGCCCCTGTGACGGCCACCCAGCCACGTGAAGGGGAAACGGGGCTCAGGCACAGGCTACTCACCACCATGTTGTATGCATCAGGAACTTCTGTTTCAAACTGAAATTTTCCACCCTGGTAGTAACCCTCATCTATCAAAAAAACACAAAACAAAACAAAAAATTCTTTAAATTAAAAAAAAAGAAAAAGGAAACAAAAGCAAATACCATGTTAGGATATGGCAAACAAAGAGGAGTAAGAGTTCACAAGAGGACTCAGGGTCCTTCGTCAGGCCACCATATCCTGCCCGACCTGGCTCAGACACGGCTCCACTCTGCCTGCCTGCTGTTGGCTCCTCCCTGGCCGACGCCCTCCTCCTTCTGAAGACTGGCTCCTCTTTTTCAGTCTCCAGAACCATGACCTAGGCAGCCCGCTCTCACCTGGGCCCACCTATTCTGCACCGCAGCACCCAGCATGTCCCCTCAACACATCTCATGACAGGCAACGCCTTATTTAAGCTGTGTGGTCACCTGTTTGCTGCTGGTCTCCCCACGAGAACATCAGTTCCATGGAGTAAGGGACTAGTGGTGACTGTTGAACCCCCAGTGCCTGGCACATGGCTCCTGGCTGCTTAATAAAGGTTTACTAGGACATACCCTGTGCAGGGCACTGCTCCAAGCCCTAGGGACACACCCTTGAACCAGACAGAACTGCTGCCTCGCTAATGTGCCTGGTCAACAGGTAGGGGGCAGTCATGCAGGAGGCCCAAGTTTGCAGTGGCACCTCCATGCCACTCCCCAGGTCTGCAGACCCCACAGCACTATGCCAATGCCTTTAACTGTGCCACCAGCCAGCCACTCTGCCTCTTCTAGAGTCCACCTGCAGGTGAGCTGGGTTCCCAGGTGTAAACACTGCAAGCTGCCGCCAGCAGAGGGCGCCGAGCACAAATGTGACCAGTCTGGACATGCCCCCGCAGTAATTAAACTCCACAATTTAACAAAATTAACCCATCTTTAAAACAAAGGCTCAACTTCCCCCAAACTATTTCTCACCAGGAACAAATCAGCAATACTACATCTTATCGCTTCTCTCAGCGGTTTACACAAAGTAAACATTTAATATCTGCTACTTGCATTTGATTTTGTTGTCCAACTAGCTTTCATTTTTAAGCCAGTCTTTCTTAAAAGGTCTTTCCCAGCCCTGGCTGGTGTTTTTCACTGGTTAGAACATTGGTGCTTGAATTGAAGGGTCATGGGTTCAATTCCCAGTCAAGGGCACTTACCTGGGTTGCAGGTTCAATCCCTAGCCCTCGTCAGGGCATTTGTGGGAAGGAACCAATTGATGTATCTCTCTCACATCGATGTTTCTTTCTCTCTCTGTCTATCTCCCTCCCTCCCTTCCACTCTATCTAAAATCAATAGAAAAATATCCTCAGATGAGGATTAACAACAAAAAATGCTACCAGAATTTAATAAATGAAGTTAGTAAGGTAACAAGACACATGACAATATATTTTAAAAAATCAACTGCATTACTTGGCCGGTGTGGCTCAGTGATGGAGTGTCAACCTATGAACCAAAGGTCACGGTTCCATTTCCAGTCAGGGCACATCCCCAGGAAGAGGCGTGCACGAGGCAGCCGAAAATGATTCTCTCTCATCATCGATGTTTCTATCTCTCTCCCTTCTCTGAAATCAATAAAAAAAAATTAAATTATCAATTGCATTTTTATATACTAATACCAAGTAAAATAGAAATTTTAAAAATACCATTTACAACAACTTCAAAAAACATGGAATCCTTAGTGACATATTTAACAAAGCGCTTGCAGGACCTATATATACACTAACACTACAAAATGCTGCCGAGAGAAAGTAAAAAAGACCTAAGTAAATGCAGATATTCTGCATGCTCATGGATTGGAAGACTCAATATCGTTAAGATGTCACTTCTTGTTGGACTGTAGAGTAGGAGAGTCGGAAATTGTCACACATTGCTAGTTGGTATGACACAACCACTTCAGAAAATTTCTTAAGAAATTAAATATATCTTTCCCATGACTCAGATATTCCATTCTTTAAAATATATATATATATTATTGATTTCAGAGAAGGGAGAGAGATAGAAACATCGATGATGAGAGAGAATAAGAATCATTGACTGCCTGCCTCCTGTATGCCCCACACTGGGGATCAAGCCTTCAACCCAGGCATATGGCCTGATTGGGAATCGAACCATCACCTGGTTCATCAATCGATGCTCAACCACTGAGCCATGCTGGCTAGGCCCAGAGATTTCATGCTTAAGTGGAAATGAAGAGAAATGAAACGTATGAGTATACAAAGGATGGTAAGAGAATGTTAATAGCAGTCTTATTCGTAATATCCAAAGCTGGGAAGAATTCCAATGTTCACCAACAGGAAAAGGAACAATTATGGCACATTCATATAATAAAGAGGAACAAACTACCAACATGCCAAACATGTGTGAATTTAAAAACATGTTACCTGCAAAAAGCCAGAGACAAAGTATATAGGATATATACGATTCTCTTAATATATGAGTAGGTAAGATTCCATGTATATGAAATGTAAGAACTGACAAAACTGATCCATGATACTAGAAAGGACTTTTGGGTGGGCAGTAGGGGCTGAGGAAATGACTGCAAAGAAGCAGAAGGGAACTTCGGGAGTGGAGGAAAGAAACTGTACTGTGGTTACGAAGGGGTATACATTTTTTGGAATGCATTAAACTGTACAATTCAAATTAGTACATTTTAGCCCTAGCCTGTTTGGCTCAGTCGATAGAGCAATCAGCCTGCGGACAGAAGGGTCCCAGGTTCAATTCTGGTCAAGGGCACATACCCGGCTTGCGGGCTTGATCCCCAGTAGGGGGCACGCAGGAGGCAGCCAATCAATGATTCTCTCTCATCATCACTGATGTTTCGATCTCTCCCTCCCTCTCTGAAATCAATAAAAAATATTTTTAAAAAATTAGTACATTTTGTTTGTAATTTCATACCCCAGTTAATGTACTTACAAAGGAAAAACTAAAATTAAAATAATAATTATGTCCACAGCCCCCTCTGCCTAAAAGCCCCCACACCACAGTGGGGCAGGCTGAGGGACCTCCACAGACCAGCTGGGCAACTATGACCTGGCAGGCCCAGTGTGTCAAACCTCATAGGAGGCTTTGGGGGAGAGATGAGCCAGTGTTTGGGGTTTTGCTTTGCTTTGTTTTGTTTCACTTGCTAGTATTTTTTGTTTTGTGAGTCCATGTGAAGACTTTGTTTTCTCCTAAATTCATTTCTTTTCCTGTCACCAAATTTCAGTTCCATGTTTTCTCTGAAGAGCACATTTATTTCCAAGCATGAGGGACACTCCAAAAACCACCAAAACTGAAGTGCTAGAAGCCAATGAGCTTTGAGCTTCAAATGCAGAAGCAGCTCCTCCACCTGAGCACCCAGAGCTGAGATATCACAGTCATTCCTGGGCTTTCAGACTCGGCCCCAGGATTACTGGCTGCAAATGATCCACTGTCAACACCATCTGCTTCATCCATCCTGAAAACTCTACTTCTTAGGCACATCTCTGTCAGCTTTTTCAATGCTAAAAAGAGTGCGACTCTAGAAAGTCTTTAAATAAACAGGCTATTGGACCAGTGTTAGGGCTGGCAGACAGCAGCCCTGCTTCTCTTAACCAAGGGCAGGAGCCACAGGCTCTTTGACTCAGTGTGTGAGGAGCACGCTGGGCACACAGCTCCAGGCGACAATTGTGTCCCTGACATGCAGATGTCACAAACAGAAATGCTAAATTCTCACAGTTACAGGCACAGAAACACAAGTTCCTTTTTTATCTGATCCAACAGAGAATACCAAAACTATAATAAACAATTGAGCTCTGTTTTCAAGAACAACAGAAAGAACATGAAAGACAGTGTCATATACATAATCACAACATCCATGTAATTAGGGGGGAGGAAATGCAATCAAAAAAGAAAAAGGAACAATCAGAGGTTGGATTTGACACAAACCCACTCCAGTAAGATAGTGATAAACATGGCAAAGTCCAACAGGTGGCTGAGGACACTAAGCGGACTCTTGGGCAGGACAACAGCCACAGAATCCCCGAGAGCCACAGACAATGGCTAGAAAGGCAGAGGGCAGCCAATGTTTTTACTACAAATACACAGCTCTGAGACTGCTTACTCAACAGAGAACCAGTCTTCATCCCCACGACAATTTTTGAAAATACCCTGCACTGGTGATCTGAGTCACTATGAAACACAAAGTGCTCGGTGCCCTTCACTAAAACCAGAACACGCAGTGGGTTTTATGAAGGTGGCCAAGAGTGGTCACCATTTTCACCATTTCAGCTTGAAGTCCTGAGTCTGGTTATATCTGGGCGCCAGGCATATGGAACAGCCCATTCAGGTTTAATCTATCCTAGTGCCACTCATCTTAGTGGAAATGGTACCAGACTGAATTACATTCATGTCCCAGAGCAGTTTATAGAACTACCCCATAGATTCAATAAACTTTTAAAACTTTTCAAGCAGATTTTGAAAATGGGATTTCTCCTGTTATTATAAAAAACATCTTACAGGAAAACTCTCTCCTCTCTCTCTTTTTTTTCCCCCCCCCCCCCCCCCCCCCCCCCAACCTACCTACCTACCTACCTATAGGGAAACAATTCCAGGGCTTATTTATGGGTCATTATCTGAATTACCTACTGAAATTCTGCATTCTTTCACTTTTAAATTAGCTAGTAACTCCTGAGTCTGTTTCTCATCCCCTCTCCATCCTCCACACACAGCACCCTCATTTTCTTCACAACATTCCCTTCCCTCTAGTTAATTTCCTTGGTCCTCCCCTTCCCTGCCTCCCTCCCTCCCATAGGCACCACGCCCACTGCCTGAGGTAATGCTGGTGCCTGTGCTGGAACCTGGCTCCCTCACGTTGCCCAGTGTGACCAGGGAGGAGTCAGGCACCTGGAGCTGAGACACTAATCAGTCCCAAGGAGGACAGCTGGCAATCCGCTCTGTCCACCTGTACTGCACTCAGCTATCTGCGTCATCCTCACAGCCGTCCTGGGAGATAGGGCCGTTCCATCCCACTCCGTGCTGGTGGGCTGTGGCTGAGAGGTCAGGAAGTAATTTCATGGTCCCACAGCTGCTACATACAGAGCAGGATCTGAACCCAGGTAAGACTCCAGAGCGCACACTTCTCACCACACATCAGCAACCTGTCCTTGTTCACTGTGGCCTGGTCTGTCCCTAGTTACTGGAACGAACGCCTCAGATTCACAGCACTACGCTCTATCTGACCACAAAGTATACATCTTGTTGTCATATGGAAAGGTCGTTAGTGTCATAAACTCAAAAAGTTAAGAGGACAACTCAAGCGAAAGATTATAGGTTTGGGCAGCCTTTAAAATTTGCTGTTTAAGAAGTATATAAGAATATTACCTGGGGAGAAACTAAGATGGCGGCAGAGATAAACACCGGGAAATTAATGCCGCTCACAACAATTGATTAATACCTCAGAGAAACAATACGGACTTCAT